GTGTGTGTGTGTGTGTGTGTGTGTGTGTGTGTGTAAAATAGACTCTGGTCTGCAGAAGCACTTCTTCAGGGCTTCTTGTTCATTCCCCAAGGGGCTTCCTCTTCACTGATGATTGTGGGACCTAAGCTTAGTCATTCATGTGACAAGGAATGTTCCCCAAGTCCTCAAGCCCATAGCTGGCATTGAAGCCTTTCTCTCAGTAGCTCTTTAGAGTGGGCTTTCTTTGGTCCGCCAAAGGTACAGAAATTGCTTCTCGAGTCATCTGGTGAAAAGCCAATGAACATAGAATAACATCAAAGTCTACCCATGTCCAGGTTCAAGGCTCTGCTCTGAAAGTGACAGCTCTGAGTGCAGTGACCAGACCTCTGGCCCGTTCTCAGAGGCACTAAGTCACTTCTAGGAATGCAGCTTATTCTTCACCAGGACCAGAGCTACAATACCAAGGGTAATGCCAGGAGGAATGGGTGCCCCGTGCGGGCACAGAGGACTTATTTGGGTTTACTTGGCAGATGAGTAAGCCTTATTGTTTTTTAAAGAGGATCACAAAGAAAGCATCCATGAATGGCCTTAGCCATGTCCTCACCAGAAGAAAATGAGAGTTTTCTGATGCTGAGAGGCATTGGTGGCTCCTCTACTTTCAGTTAAAGGGGAAAGGGATCTCTGCCCGTGTCTCTCAGCCATTTCACCCAGTCTGTCCAATCACCCTGCAGGGGAATGTCAGCAATTTCTGGTACACACCAGCCCTAGTGGCTAGCTCAACTCTGCATGACTTACTCCATCTACAGTTAAAGGAGAGGCCAGAAGTTCTGGGGAGGACGGTGGCATTTGATATTGCTGCAGTGCTCTGCCTCTGCTCGGAGCTGCAGGCTTGCTCTGCCGTTTGCAGCGCACATGGCTTCTCCAGTGCTTGGCTTGGCTTGGCTTGGCATGGTGAAGGAACGTTGCAAGTTACTTCAAAGATTTTTGTGTTGGTGGGAAAAAGGAAGTTGTAGTAAAGTCCTAATATTTTCAGTTGGAGTCACCTTCTCAATAAAACCCCTTTGTGGTTTGACTTATTTTAGAAATAAAATCCCCTTACTGAAATGGCTTCATGACTTCCACAGGCACAAACTTTGTCCACTGAGAAAGTTTCTTTGGGGCCTATCCTGCCTTTTTTTCTTTGATGTTTTCCTCTTTCTTCCAGGTTGATACACAAGCAGACAGACATTCATAAGCGTATAATGTCAGCATATGCTTTCTTTAGATCTTATTAAAAATTTGGTTGTAGATGTGGACAGAAATATGATAGTTACTCGTGTTCTTGACAGTGGTGTCCCGTGCTCCACCCTATATTTGTTAAGTGTGTGACTGCACGTTTGTCAATTTTTGTATTTTTTTAAATTGTAAAGTACATCTAACAACGTATCATTTTCACCTTTTTTTCAGTGTATAGTTCAGTAGTATTAAGTACATTCACACTGTTGTGCAGCGATCACTACTGTCCGTTCTCAGAACTCCTTTTTATCTCTGCCAGAAGCTCCACACCTGTTAAATAACTCTCCATTCCCCTTCCCCCCAGCCCCTGGTAACTGCCTTTCTATTTTCTGTTTCTGTGAATGTGCAGTTCCCTCAGATGAGTGGAATCATACAGCATTTCTCCTTTTGTGTATGGCTTATTTCACTTTAGCAGGATGTTTCAGGGTTCATCCAGGTTATAGCATGCGTCAGAATTCCATTCCTTTTATTGCTGAATGACACTCCATTGTATGGGCACACCATGTTTTGTTTATCCATTTATCCACTGATGGACACTTGGGTTGCTTCACCTCTTATTTATTGTAATGATGCTGCAAATATTTGTGTAGTTTCTATTTGAGTTCTGTTTTCAGTTCTTTCAGGTATATACCAAAGAGTGCAATTGCTGGGTCATATATGATAATTGTACGTTTAACTTTTTGAGGAACCGCCAGACTTTTTCATAGCGGTTATACCATTTTACATGCTCTCCAGCAATATTTGAGGGTTCCAGTTTCTCCACATCCTCTACAACACTTGTTCTGGTTTATTTTTGTGATAGCCTTCCTAATGGATCCGGAGTGGTATCTTCATCACGTAATTTGGTGCAAAGAGTTATTTTTCAGACAGTTTTCAGAGACATAAGTATAAACACTACTTACTGCTCACTTTTATGCACTCTTGCATCTGGGGTCCCTGTGTCACCTGTCACCAGGGTCTGGTGCCACCAGGGTGGCAGATTAGGTCTGATCCAGGTCTCCTTCACCCTTTGCACTGAGACCCCAGAGGGTGACTCGTCTGAGCCCCTTCAGCAATGTGTTATGTTCTTCCTTCTTAGCTCCCAGGAGGCAAAGAGTCCGAAGGTGGAGCTCCACAGCCACTCAGACGTCCCTTTCCAGATGCTGGATGGCAACAGCGGTCTGAGTTCTGAGAAGATCAGCCATAACCCCTGGAGTCTGCGCTGTCACAAGCAGCAGCTGAGCCGCATGCGCTCGGAGTCCAAGGACCGAAAGCTGTACAGTATCCTTGTTACTACTTCAGCGGTGTTCCTTGCTGCGACCGTGGCTAGCTCCTGTGTCAGGATACCTTCTAGTACCATGGCCAGGCCCTCTCTGTTCAGGAGCCCCACTTGTTCTCATCTCCCTTTTTCATAGGCTCTTTGTCGTTCTTTTTTTTTTTTTTTTTTTTTTTTTAAGTTTATTTATTCTGAGAGAGAGAGAGCAAGCACACGTTGGGGAGGGGCAGAGATGGAGAGAGAGTCCCAAGCAGGCTCTGCACTGCCAGTGAGAGCTGGACTCGGGGCTTGAATTCACAGACCGTGAGATCACAGCCTGAGCCAAAACCAAGAGTCGGATGCCCAACTGACTGAGCCACCCAGGCACCCCTGTCATTCTTTGTTTTATTGACATGTTTTTTTCTGCCTTTTGGGGCTGGTAAGCCTGAAGCTTCAACTTGGCAGTCTAGAAGAGTGCTGTTTGGTAGAACTTTCTGAGACCATGGAAGTATCTGTATCTGTGTTTAGTATGGCAGCCACTGGCCATATTGAGTAACCAAAATGTGGCTGCTGTGCCTGAGTTACAGAATTTTATACTCACTTAAATTCAAATTGCCAGATGTGGCTAGTGGCTACCAGATTTGTCAGTGCAGGTCTAGAATCAGGGATCTGCGTTTGTGTGCACACGTGCATATGCACACATACATTTCTCCACTCCCAAAAGATAATAATTACAAAGTGGTACTTTTTTTTTGTCCAAAGAGAAACACCATACCTGAACAGCATATAATAGTCTTTAAGATGGTAAACGCAAAGAAATATTATAAAATGGGAATTCTGCTGGTCAGTTACTATCTGAAGCAGTAGGCAGTAAATGACTAATACTGAGAAACTGAGGGGAATGTGTTGAGGCCTGTTTACTCAGTTTTCATAACAGTCTTTTGAAGGAGAAAATGTTACGATGCCAGTTTAAAGATGAGGTGATGGCTGGGCGCCTGGGTGGCTCGGTCGGTTGAGCATCCGACTTCGGCTCAGGTCATGACCTCACGGTTTGTGAGTTCGAGCCCCGCATCTGTGCTGACGGTTCAGAGCCTGGAGCCTGCTTCGAATTCTGTGTTTCCCTCTCTCTCTGCCCCTCCCCTGCTCACACTCTGTGTCTCTCTCTCTCAAAAATAAACATTAAAAAATTTTTTTTAATAAATAAAGATAAGGAGATGGAAGCCCAAGGGGGTTAAGTGTTGTGCCCAGGCCCATGAGAGGCCAAAGCAAGATTCAAGAGCCCATGCTCTCGGGCACTGTGAGATATTTCTGCAGCTCTTTTTAAGTTTTATTGTCATTTGTTTACAAGTTATTGCAGATGATGAAATTAATAGCCAAATTTAATGGTTTTCTAGTAGATCTTCTTTAAAGAATTAGCAGATGTTAATATGTGCATCATCGAGCAATGCCAAGTATGTTATCATCCAAGACTGTGGTTGCTTCATGGTCCTCCAGTATGGAACTGAGGTCCAGGCTTGGGCCCTGATGACTTTTGGCAGCCTTGTGACTAGCCTGTGTACCTTTATCCAGGGTGGTTGCAGACCACAGATTTAAATGAGGACATGGGTATAAATACCAGCCGCCCAGGACCATAGAGGCATTTTGAGCAGAAGGTCCTAAAAGTACTAAGGGACAAGCTGAAGTATATAGTCCACTGGTTTGAAGTTTAGTCAGTAAATGGCAGGATAGAAATGTATTATTTATTTACTTACTTAAGTTTTTTTTTTTTTTAATTTATTTTGAGATAGAAGAGTGTGGGAGGGTGCAGAGGGAGAGGGAGAGAATCCCAAGCAGGCTCCGCACTGTCAGTGCACAGCCTAATGTGGGGCTTGAACTCAAGAACTCTGAGATTGTGACCTGAGCCGAAGTCGGATGCTTAACTGAGCTACCCAAGTGCCCTGACAGGGTAGAAATTTAAATCCATCTTTTCCTAAGATTCCTGTTTGGAAGTGGTAAACCTGATTTCTCGTGTTTGTGATAGTGCTGTGAAGATGTCTTCCCTATTTCTTTTAGGCCTGGATGCGGTATGGCTTGAGCAGGGCCTTGGTTTACTTACGGTGCCAGGGATGCATGTGAATCTGGCAGACCTTCTTTAGTTTGTGTATGCCTACCAGACAGAGTAAAGTAGAATAAAATAAATGTGATGGTATCAGCAGATTGTCATAGATCCATGCCGTGGAAAATTATTCAGCCATAAAAAAGGAATGAAATTTTGTCACTTGCTACAGCATGGTTAAAACTTGAAAACATTTTGCTCTGAAACAGCCAGACACAAAAAGACAAATATGAAGTATCTAGAGTAGGCATACTCATAGAGACAGAAACTGGAATGGCAGTTCCCAGACATGGGGATGTGAAGAGGAATGGGAGTGTGTGTAGTGGGTACAATTTCTGGTTTCTGTTTGGGAACATAAAAAAGTTCCAGAGATGAAGGGTGATGGTGGTTGCACAGTAATGTGAATGTACTTAATGCCACTGAACTGTGAAGTTAAAAGTAGTTGAAATGGCGCGGGGGTGGGGGGGCGGGCAGTGCCTGGGCGGCTTAGTCGGTTAGGCGTTCAACTCCGGCTCAGGTCATGATCACACAGTTTGTGAGTTCGAGCCCTGAGTCGGGCTGTCTGCAATCAGTGCAGAGCCTGCTTCAGGTCCTCTGTCCCCATCTCTCTCTGCCTCTCCCCAGCTACTGCACGTGTGTGTTCTCTCTCTCTCAAAACTAAATAAACACTTTTAAAAAATCGTTAAAATGGTAAATTTTGTTATGTGTATTTTGCCACAGTAGAAACATTTTTGAAAATAATTGATAGGCCTGTGGTGCCTATCAATAATTTGATAGGTCACAAATTGAGAATTTGTGAGGTGAATACAGATTACATTTAAAGAGAATGCCCCCTTTTATAGAAAAACTTGGTTGTGGTTTCATGGTTGGGGCTGATGGTGAGTGTGGCTGTTACTCTCCTTGACGTGGTCCAGAGTTCCTCTTGCTTGAGAACGTGGTGCACCACTTCAAGTACCCCTGTGTTCTGGACCTGAAGATGGGCACCCGGCAGCATGGTGATGATGCATCAGCTGAGAAGGCGGCCCGGCAGATGAGGAAGTGTGAGCAGAGTACGTCAGCTACACTGGGTGTCAGGGTCTGTGGCATGCAGGTGAGTTGCCCTGGTGAGAGCCTAGCTGCTGCCGCCCACGTGTCTGGGGTTGCACATGTGCCTGCCTGCTATCCATGCCAGGTGTCCTCCGGGCCCACAGTGGTCCAGAATCTCCTCCGAGAGGGTGAGTGCCCCACGGGATGCTGAGTGCATCCTTATAGGTATGTTCCCTGAGCCCTCTCGGCCTTACCTGATGACCTTTGGGCTCCAGACACAGAGCCACTGTGAGAGCCTGTTGCCTTGACATTGGGACGATTAAGGCTGGTCAGAAGTACTTTTGACAGTGCCTGCCCAGGGCACTATACGGTCATCAGACCTTTCTGGTGCTCACCCCCTCTGTCTCCTGGGCTTTCAGGTATACCAGCTGGACACAGGACACTACCTCTGCAGGAACAAGTACTATGGCCGTGGGCTCTCCATTGAAGGCTTCCGCAACGCCCTCTATCAGTACCTGCACAATGGCCTGGACCTGAGGCGTGACCTTTTTGAGCCCATCCTGAGCAAACTGCGGGGCCTGAAAGCTGTGTTGGAGCGGCAGGCATCCTACCGCTTCTATTCCAGCTCCCTGCTTGTCATCTACGATGGCAGGGAGTGCCGGGCAGAGTCCTTCCTGGACCGCCGGGCCGAGATGCGTCTCAAGCACCTGGATACTGGGCTCCCTGAGGTGGCGCCACCCTGTGGCCCTAGCACCAGCCCCAGTAGCACCAGCCCTGAGGCCGGCCCCTCCTCTCCACCCAAGGTGGATGTCCGCATGATCGACTTTGCACATAGCACGTTCAAGGGCTTCCGGGATGACCCCACCGTGCATGATGGGCCAGACCGAGGCTATGTGTTCGGCCTGGAGAACCTCATCAGCATCATGGAACAGATGCGGGAGGAGAACCAGTAGGCCCCGCCCTGGGCCCCCAGAACCCCTTCCTCTCCACCCGCAGGCAGGGACCATTGCTCTGACTGAACTCGCCGTGAGGACACACAGACTTGCTTTTAAAGGGTTATATTTCTCTTTGGTGTAAACTAAAAGAAATGTTTTTAGCTGTAGCCTGGAATCCATATATATAAAGTGAAGGAGGGCACAACACACATCCTCACAGCCAGGCTTCTTTAGCTCTACAGTTCTGACTGCTGTGTCCAGGCTGACTTAGGAAGGAAGAGGTGCCCTTGGTGGATGGGCTTGGCAGCAGGGACAGGGTGCCCTTGGACGTTGGTTTCTCTGGCCTAGGTCTTTGGGGTCTGTGGCTATAGGGCCCTGCAGGTTTTAGGGTGAAGCACTGGACTGGTGCAGGGTCCCTCTGTGCTCACTCATCCTTTGTTCCTCAGAAGTAGAGGATTGGGTGCCCAGCTCTTGGGGACTTTCTAGTCTGGTGGTGCGGGCATCAGCCAGTGCTTTAACAGATGCCCCCAGGATACCACAGGGCCAATTGCACATAGCTGGACCTGTCCTTCTCAGTTCTGACCTTGGCGTGAGGCTAGATTCATGAAGCTGTGCTGAAGCCAGCTTTTGACAGAGAGTAGGCCATGGGACTCCCAGGCACTCTGGCACTTGAGCCTGCTCCTCTTCCTTCCTGCACACCCCAGCCAGCCTTTCTCACCAAGATCCCTTGTCTGAAGAGGCTACCCCTTCCTGCCCCACTGAAGGGGTCCCTGCTGTATTTGCCAAGGAGAGTTAATGTCCCAGCAGGCTCCAGGGCCTCTGGTGGCTCTGGCCCAGACAGTATTTGCAGTTCTTGGGCTATGGGTGGGAGTCCTCTTCCTCTAGCTTGGGCAGCTGTGCTGCCTCTGGATGGGCTGCCCGTCCCAGGGCTCAAGGGCTGTGGTCCGCTCAGGGTGTCACCTTTCCCCAGGCTAAGCTCAAGGCAGCAGCCCATTGTAAGGAGCTCCAGTCGTGGGAGGGAGAGCTTTTTTTAAGCTTGTCTTCTCATAGGGACATTGTTTGGGCCCTGGGTGCAGGTGCCCAGATTCTGCTAATGAGTTTTGTCTTATCATTCCTGGGATCCATCAGTCTGTCCATTTCTCCATCTGCCAGCCCTTGTTACTTGGGATCTTTCCCCTGGGCTGTAGCCTTGTTTATTAGTAAATAATGATTTCCATCATGCTTTCCTCAGCAAAATAGTCTTTTCCATTTCTGAGGTGAGCTTTGGCCCTTGTGCCTGTTGTCAGCAGGTGCTACCTTTTTACAAAGAACTGGTAGCAAATGAATTGTATGAGGTATTTCCCTGCTGGCCCAGCACCTTGTCTGTAGGCCTGGAGTGTGGCCCTGCTCAACAGTGTGGTACAGTGAAGGCCCAAGGGGCAACCCTTCTTGTGGTTTCAGTAATTTTTGCCGCCAGCCCTTAATGGCACAGAGACCTGCCACCTCTAACATGTGGCCAGGAGGTGACACGGCACTCAGCCATTGCCATGGTTAGTGCCCTCACCTCTGGGCCTAGGGCCGCTGTCATTGTCACTTTTGGCATGGCCCTTGTTTGGGCATTAAAGGTAAGCCTGCCAGTCTGTATATGAGAAGCTTTGATAACTGGTGGACTACTTTCCTAGTCCTTAGAGATGCAGCCTCACACGTTTTAAACGGGCTCCTTGATGGATCCCATCTCTCTCGGCCCTCTGATCCTGGTGCCAGTGGTGGGCAGGTTCCCATTCCTTGGGGCTGGGAGGGACAACTTGCCTGTTTCTGGTCAATAATGACCATCTTTCTTGTACCATTCTGTGGCTTCAGCCATAGGGGTAGTAGCTCTTCATTAGTGCAGACCGTCATTTCCTGGCAGGGCAAAGGCCAAGACAGAGTCAGGGGCTGCTTGGGACTCCCTTCAGTTGAAACTCTCCAGCCTGGGGATGTGCTGTGCTGCCTCAGTTCCTGTATTTGGGGGAGCAGATGCTGCCCCATTCTCTTCGTAGTGAGAGAGCTATACCTACTTATCTTCAGTGTTTTCCTGGCACTAAAAAGAGCAAAAGGGTCTGGGATTTGCTGCTTCTCCATTAGGGCAGGACCCCTCTTTTCGGCACTTTTGACACTGGGGGGACCCAGCTCTGTTACCTGGTGGGTGTTGGGCTTGTGTGTGCACACATGCTCTCTCTCTCTGCCTCTACTCTCTCCCTGGTCCTTGCCAGAGAGCCCAGGCCCTGCCTTCCCAAACCCCAACTTGGGACCAAAGTACAACGTGGGATCATGGGTTGGGGCGCTCAAGTGACCCCCCTCTATAGTGCTTACTTGGGCCAAGTCAACACCAGCCCCCTGGGCTAGGGGGGGTGGGGTGGGACCGGTGGTGCTTAACGAGGAAGGGGACCAGTGTAGCAACTTGCAGGAGACCCCACCTCTCCCTCCCCTCACATTGGGGCCTGTGCAGTGGGTGTGGGGGTTTCCCCAGGGGCCAAAGCCCTGGGCTAATTCAGTAGCCGCTGCTCACTCGCGCACATCTGGCCACGTGCACGCCCCCTAGATGCAGATTGCTTGGAACTTTAAAGCTGTTCAATTTGGTTTTGTTTGTGCTGATTTAAAAAAATGTTTTAATGAGAAAAATTGGAGCACCCTGGGAAGGACGTGGTTCCTTTGCTTCTCGGGGTACCGTAAGCCTCCTCTCTAGGAATCGTTCTTTGCTCCACTTTCCTGGAAGCTGCCTAAACCTGCCCAAGCTGCCCCAGGTCTGCACCCTCTTCCACTCTCGGCTCCGCCCACGGCTGGGCCACTGCGTCTCCTTGGGACCTTGCGTGCGGGGAGGGGCCCGGCGGCCTTTCGCACATCTCTGGCGCCCGCCCGCTTGTGTCTGAGGTCGTGTATGTCAAAATAAAGCCGCTAGAAACTGAGCTGTGTCCGCGTCTTTGCAGTCCCGCGGCTCCCAGGAGGCAGGTCCAACCCCGTTGCCCCGCGTCCCTCCGCCGAGTCCCACGAGCCGCTGCGCCGGGGCGGGGCCGGAAACGGCCGCGCGGCAGCGGACCCCGGCACCCGTCGGCGAGAGAGCCTCGCCCTTGGCGCCAGTTCCGCCTTTGGATCCGCCAATAGGCAGCTGACCCGCAGACCCCGTCCCGGTCCCCATGGCAGCTCGGCGTGCTCGGGCTCTCATTGGCTACGTCTGCCAGAACGCCGCGCCCCTGCGCTCCGACGTCGGCGTCCGTGCCACGTATACGGCAGCCGATTGGCCAGCTCGGGCCAACGTCACCCCCCCGCCTAGGTCCGGCCTGAGTTCCGGGCCAGCAGCTCTCCGTCTGGCGTCGCTTCTTCCTGTGTGCGGTCCCCGGTAGGCGTCAGGGCGGACTGGGCGGCCAAGGCAGAGCCAGAGTGGGTCAGTCTGGCAGGTGAAGGGCTCGGGCCGCGGCGGGAGTTCGCGGCAGGGCTCGGCCGGGCGGGCCGGGCCGCGGACGCTTCGGAGTCTGGGACTCACTCTCCGGCCGCCCGCAGGCGCGATGAAGGCACTGATCTTGGTGGGCGGCTATGGGACGCGTCTGCGGCCGCTGACGCTGAGCATCCCGAAGCCACTGGTGGATTTCTGCAATAAGCCCATCTTGCTGCACCAAGTGGAGGCGCTGGCCGCGGTAAGACCCGGGGTCGGTGTCGTGGTGGGACCTGGCAGGACGAGGGACTAGATCGTGATTGCCCGTGCCTTCTGGCTGAGACCTTCTGTCCGCCGGCGCTGTTTTGTCCAACAGGCAGGCGTAGACCACGTGATTCTGGCGGTGAGCTACATGTCTCAGGTGCTGGAGAAGGAAATGAAGGCGCAGGAGCAGAGGGTGAGGCTCGGACTCTTGACCTTTTTCTTTGCTCCCCGCGCAACCACCCATCCTGTTGGGAGGAACCTGACAGGCGGCTTATCCCTTTCAGCTGGGAATCCGAATCTCCATGTCTCACGAAGAAGAGCCTTTAGGCACAGGTCAGTAAAGACAGGAAGGTTCCTTTGGGGTTTAGGGTCTGAGAAGGGGTGAGACTCAGCGTGGATGGGGTATGCTGAGCCTGGTTCCAAAGGTTCAAACCCCTAGAAAGATGGTGACCTGCACCTCTCTCCTAGCTGGGCCCTTGGCACTGGCCCGTGACTTGCTCTCTGAGACTGCAGATCCTTTCTTCGTTCTCAACAGTGATGTGATCTGCGATTTCCCCTTCCAAGCCATGGTGCAGTTCCACCGGCACCATGGCCAGGAGGGCTCCATCCTGGTAAGGGATCAGGTCTTTCTTCTCTGACACTCCTGCCCCGATGCCCAGCCTCTTCCAGTCTGCGGCCCTTAACTATCTGCTTGTGTTGTGGGTGCAGGGCTGTGCAGTATGTGTCTTTAAGCATTTGGGGCACAGCCCCGGAGATTTAGGACAGTATGCATAGCATATCAAGGCTCAGGCACACTGGATTGGGCCTGAGGTCCCCCTCTACTCAGGTGACCAAAGTGGAGGAACCCTCTAAGTATGGTGTGGTGGTATGTGAGGCTGACACAGGCCGCATTCACCGGTTCGTGGAGAAGCCACAGGTGTTTGTGTCCAACAAGATCAACGCAGGCATGTACGTTCTGAACCCTGCAGTGCTGCGGCGCATCCAGGTGTGTAGAAGCCAGCTGCTGGGTGGGCTGGGGCAGGGCAGGCCCCTACCCCCCTGACCCTGCTCACGAGTTGCCCACTCCCACAGCTGCAACCTACATCCATTGAGAAGGAGATCTTTCCTGTCATGGCCACGGAGGGGCAGCTATATGCCATGGAGCTGCAGGGTGAGGCAGGGAGGCCACAGGCTGGGGGTGGGGTGTGGCTGGGCTGAGCCCCCTGATGCATTTCCTCCCAACAGGCTTCTGGATGGACATAGGGCAGCCCAAGGATTTTCTCACTGGCATGTGCCTCTTCCTACAGTCCCTGCGACAGAAGCAGCCTGAGCAACTGTGCTCAGGCCCTGGCATTGTGGGCAATGTGCTGGTGGTAAGGCCCCTGCCCAGCCCATCGTAAACCCACGTCCTCCCCCAACTCCCCACCCCCCCCGCGACTTCATCTCGGGAGACAAGTGATTCACTTGTATTTCCCTCATTGTCCTTAGGACCCAAGTGCCCGCATTGGCCAGAACTGCAGCATCGGCCCCAACGTGAGTCTGGGTCCTGGCGTGGTAGTGGAGGATGGTGTGTGCATCCGGCGATGCACAGTGCTGCGAGACGCCCACATCCGATCCCACTCCTGGCTCGAGTCCTGCATTGTGGGCTGGCGCTGCCGCGTGGGCCAGTGGGTAAGCCTGTGGGCTGGGCCAGATGGGGAGAGGGGCAGGGAATGTGCCTGCCTTGCTGACCAGGCCTGCCCCCTCCCTCGAGGTGCGCATGGAGAACGTGACAGTGCTGGGTGAGGACGTCATAGTTAACGACGAGCTCTACCTCAACGGGGCCAGTGTGCTGCCCCACAAGTCTATTGGCGAGTCGGTGCCAGAACCACGCATCATCATGTGAGGGGATACCATGGGGCTGGCTGAATCTCCATTTCCCTACTGGCATGGGGAGCTCTGGCTTGACACATCAAAAGGCCCTGGACTCGCCGTTATCTCAGAGGACTAGACAAGGCTGAAGCTGTTGGACACCTGCCCTCTCTTGTGGACATAATCTGGCAGGATCCTTGCTGGGCATCCTCTACAAAGCCTGCTCCCTCAAGAAGGTCCGGGCCAGGGCTGTATGGAATAATAATTTAATGTTCACTGTGGCCCTGACTGAAAGTCAAGCTCAGGCACAATTAGGACACGGCTGGGTTCCCGCCAATGAGGTTACACTCAGACAAGGAGGTTGGACATGGCGGGGATGGGGGAGGACATGGGGAATAGGGCAAGAGGAGCTCATAAATAGGGCCCAGCCTGGGTCTGAGTTCAAGGGTGGAGGCTGCTGCTGTGTGGGTTAGGCTGCCGAGGAAGTGGTACTGGTACTGGCTGCCTTCTCCCAGTCCTCTACAGACACGATGGTGGCTTTGCAGAAGAAGCAATCCTTGTTGTTCATCAGATGCTGGTTGATGCAGGCTCTACAACGGGAGGAGGAGGAGGGTCTGTGTATCCCTGCTGCTTCCCCAGCCCCCTGCACCAATGGGGCCCACTTACTTGCAGGACTTGTGGCCACAGGGCTGGAACACGGCAGAAATGGGGTGAGCATAGCAGATGGGGCAGAGATCCTCCTCGCTGGTGGGCTGCAGGGAGCAGAGTGCAGGGTGGGCTGGGGTCAGATACCCAGACAAGGACACATGCCACACGTGTGTGGTATGCACATTTGTGCTAACGTGTGTTTGGGTGGTGTGGACGTGTGTGTAGTGGCTCCCACTCACCAGGGAGGCAGCTGCTGCCTGGGCCGACGCAGAAGTCAGGTGTGCCAGCATCTGTTCCACCTGGGCCAGCTCCTCAATGCTGATGTAATCTGTGTCTGGGGGTTGGTGGCAGTTGTCAGACCCAACGTGGCCCTAGAACCCAGTGCCTCTTAAATACCACAACTTGGGAACTTGCTCTTCTGGAGACTCCTCACCTAGGCCAGTCCCGGATCCCTCTTCCCTGACCCATCCCTGGCCCACTCACAGCTCTGTAGGGAGAAGCGCTTCCGGTCAGGGGCAGGCAGGACAGTGCCAGGGGCAGGAGGCTCTGGCTGCCCCAAGAGATAGCATATAGAGCGGAGCTGGAAGCAGGGATCAGCCAGGAGCACTGACGTGGCTCTTTCTGTCCTGGGTGGGAGAGGGTGCAAGGGTAGTCAGAAGGTTGGGCCTATCTGAAAACGATACCTATTGGAGGGGTGGGGGGGGACAATTCAGCCCACCTGAATTGCCTCTGTCCCACCTCATCTCCCTGCTGCTCACACTGCCACACCCTCTACCCTCCCCGCCCAGTCCTGGGTCCCAGTAAGAACCATACAGCCCTTGTACCAGTTTAAATGGGTGACTAGCAGATACTGAAACCCTACCTACCCCCTAATATACACTAACTCCAAAGAAAACAAATAAATAGCACTAGCAGCTTAAAGGCGTGCCTCCCAGGTTTCCCTGCTACTATTCCCGGGAAGACAGGCACCGGGGAAAGCCATAGGCTAAGAACAGACTGGGATATCAGAGACGGACTCGCGCCCCCTCTGGCGGCCACCCTGGGACCTAGGTCGAGGTTGGGGGGGGGTGCCCCACCCCCTCCGGCCTGGGGCCAATGGGAGGCCGAGGCCCCGCCCTCCTCCAGGAGAGTATTTAGAAGCCGATCGGCGAAGCACCCGGAGAGCTGGGGAAGCCGGAGGAGGGAGTGCTGAGTGGAGCTCGGCCCCAAGTCCCGACCTGGACCCGGGAAGTAGGGGCGGTTGGCGTGTGGGGTGGAGCCCACATCCATCAGAAGTGGGTGAGTCCTGGAGCCGCGCCCCACACAGAACTGCCCCATTCCACCCCCGGCAGTCACCACCATGGCCTGGCTGGTGCTGCTGGGCGCACTGCTGTGCATGCCGCGCGTCGGGGTGGGCAGTCTGGGCTCAGAGGGCTTTTTGCCCTCTGCACCCCATAACTGCCCCTACAGATGTGTGTGCGCCGCTGACCTGCTGAGCTGCGCGGGCCTGGGGTTGCAGGACGTGCCGGCTGCGTTGCCTGCCGCTGCTGCGGACCTCGACCTGAGCCACAACGCGCTCCAGCGCCTCCGCCCCGGCTGGCTGGCGCCACTCTCCCGGCTGCGCGCCCTGCGCCTAGGCCACAACGAACTGGACGTGCTAGGTCACGGAGTCTTCACCAACGCCAGCGGCCTGCGGCTACTCGATTTATCATCTAACGCGCTGCGGGCGCTTGGCCGCCACGACCTCGAAGGGTTGGGGGCGCTCGAGAGGTTGCTTCTGTTCAATAACCGCTTAGCGCACTTGGATGAGCACGCCTTCCATGGCCTGGGCGCACTCAGCCGCCTCTACCTGGGCTGCAACGAACTCTCCTCCTTCTCTTTTGACCACCTGCACGGTCTGGGCACGACCCACCTACGTACTCTGGATCTCTCCTCCAACCGCCTGGGACGCATCCCAGTACCTGACCTGGCTGCACTGCCAGCCTTTCTTAAGAACGGCCTTTACCTGCACAACAATCCATTACCCTGTGACTGCCGTCTCTACCACCTGCTGCAGCGCTGGCATCAGCGGGGCCTAAGCGCTGTGAGTGACTTTGCCCGAGAGTACATGTGCCTGGCCTTCAAGGTACCCACATCCCGTGTGCGCTTCTTTGAGCACAGCCGTGTCTTTGAGAATTGCTCAGCTGTCCTGGCTCAGGGCCTAGAGCAGCCCGAAGTGCAGCTGCACGTGCAGATGGGCCGGTCCCTGAGGCTGCACTGCAACACCAGTGCCCCAGCTGTGCGCATCGCCTGGGTGTCACCACAGCACGAGCTGCTGGTGGCACCAGGATCCCGAGATGGCAGCATCGCAGTGCTGGCTGATGGCAGCTTGGCCATCAGCAATGTGCAGCCGCAGCACGAGGGGGTCTTTGTGTGCCTGGCAGCCGGGCCCCACCTGCATCACAACCAGACGCACGAGTACAACGTGAGCGTGCATTTCCCACACCCTGAGCCCGAGGCTTTCAACACAGGCTTCACCACCCTGCTGGGCTGCGCTGTGGGCCTGGTGCTCGTGCTGCTCTACCTTTTTGCGCCACCCTGCCCAGGCTGCCGCCGCTGCTACCGTCGCACCTGCCACTGCCGCCGCTGGCCCCGGGCACCCAGCCCCCTCCAGGAGCTGAGCGCACAGTCCTCAGTGCTCAGCACACCACCGGATGTGCCCAGCCGCAAGGCCAGTGTCCACAAGCATGTGGTCTTTCTGGAGCCAGGCAGGAGGGGCCTCAGTGGGCGTGTGCAGCTGGCAGTAGCCGAGGACTTTGATCTCTACAATCCTGTGGGCCTGCGGCTCAAGGCTGGCTCTGAGTCTGCTAGCTCCACAGGCTCTGAGGGTCTGGTGATGACCTAGGCTGCCCTGGGCCCAGAGCCAGGCCACTTGCCACCCGCTGCTCGCCCTGCTCCCTGCTGCCGCCCTGACAACTGCCAGATGCTGGTGGGAGCGCTGGGCTTGGTCCTCCAGCCTCCTGCACGGCCTTGACCTCAACCGCAGCAGCCCCACTCACTAATGGAGGGGCTGGGCTCCCCACCCTCTCTCCTGCTCTGCTCTAACACAGGGCCCAAAGGCCCTAGACCCTAGCAGGACCTACTGGTGCCCACACGTCCCACGAGGACTGGAACTGGGGCCATCTGGAAGAGCCCTTGCCTGAGAGCCCTAGGTACACCACCTCAGAGGCCGAGGCAGCTACCAAGCCATGGTGAAGTACTGAAGCATAACCATCTTCCCCTTCCCAAGGGGACAGGAAGAGAGTGGGCCCACAGGGGAAGAGGAGAAGGGCTCCAAAGGAAGACCTAGGCCCCCACCCAGGGTGGAAGGAGGAAACATGCACCAACATCCAACCTACTTCAAGCTCCACAACTCCATGCAGTCTGCTGGGCAGGAAGGAAGCAGGTGGGGCTCCTCAAGAGACCCCCAGGGGGCCTGGCCTGAGCATCAGCCAGAGTGGCCCTGCTCCCTCTGGTCAGGGGCAGCCACAGACCACTCTGAGAGCACAGCCTCTCCCGTGGGCTCACAAGACAGCAGTAAGGGGCAACATGGCCTGTGCCCCCAGCTTTTTAGCAGTAAAAAGCCCGAGCATGGCCAAGATGGGAGGGCCTAGCCGGAACTTGCTGTCCCTCGAGGGTAGAAGCCTCTTAAGGTCTGGCACTGATCTTGGTCTAATGGCTGAGGCAGTGCCCTGGTCTCATATGCTCTTACCACCCACCACAGGGAGGCAGGGAAGGGGGCGGGGGGCCTGGGAACCCCTCCCGCGTGGGTGCTGAGCTGGGGGCTCCTACAAGTCCTGGATCCAGTTGTTCATGGAGTTCCTTAATAAAGGTGGTACACGCTCATCACCAGAGCCTTCGTGAACACAAGTATCAGTGTGTGCGCTCAGCCCCCCTTCCCAGCAGTGCTGTGCTGGATGCTGCAGGAGAGCACCCCGCCAATGCCTGAGGTATAACCACAAGCCAGTGGCTATGCCCATGCAGCTCGGCTGTTCTGCTGGGGTCCCCGATTCTCCTACTCAGAGCTACTGCTGCTACCACCTGTTTAGGCAGTTTGTACCTCATGACCTCCCCCTGGCCTCAACTCCTGATGCTGAGGTCCATTTTAGAGATGAAGAAACGGCGGGCGGCAGGGAGACCCTGCCTGGTGCACTCCCCATCAGCCATGCCAGCTCCCATGGGGCCCTGGTGCCTAACACTTACCCCGACGCCGGGCCATGCACCAGGAGCCGCACCAGGATGCCTGTCACAGCCACCAGAATGGGATAGTGGTCCACGCTCTCCAGGCCTGAAGGGAAAGGAGGGATCCAGGGATCCTGGAGAGGGATCCAGGCCTCCTGGCTAGTGCGAGCCCCCCTGTCCTCCCCACAGAAGGGCGACCTAAGGCTGAGGGTATCAAGCCTGCCTGTCCCAATGCAGAATAGACAATCAGGCGTCATAACTCCTAGCAGAGGAACCAAGGCTTGTGCTATGTTGGGTTCAGGGCACTGGGTCCTCACCAGGCAGCCGCAGGGTGACCACGCGGTCAAACAGGTTCCTCTCGGCCGTCACCCGGTTCAGCACCTGGTTCAGCAGCTGTGAGGGCAGGAGCCCATTGGTGGAGTGGATGGGTGGGCTCACCACCGGGGGGTCCCCAGGGGCCCCCCTCCCTGCCCAGATGGACACACCTGTGCGAGACGCCGCAGCAGCATCTCAGAGGTAGGCCGGGCCCAGTCCAGGAATATCTCAGGCACCAGCGTGATGGTCATCTCCAAGACACGCAGCAGGCTGACCGAGAGGTCAAAGCAGGTGGCACACACCTTGAGCTGCCGGCTGTCCACAAAGTTCCGCTCTAGGCGCTCGGCAGCCTGTTGGATCTGAGCCACCAGCAGGTGGGCAGTCAGTGGCCTGGCCACACTGCAGTTCATGCCTGGTCCTCTGCAACACCACAGCCCACGCGACCCACTGTGACCCACCTCCTGGATCATGCCGATGAACTCAGAGAAGGCCCAGTTGAGCTGGTTGAGGACGCTGTTGAGGAAGCTGGGTGCCACATCAGGACCCTCCCGCAGTAGGTCTGCCATGTGCTGCTGAAGCAGGGTGGAGGGGCAGGGCTCTGCAGGGGCATTGACACGGTGGCATCACTGGGGACTCTGGTCTGTGGTTCCTGCCTGTCTACCTCTGTCCTGACTTGTTGGGCCATTGGTGTAAGGACAAAAAGATGACTCCCTGAGGATGCTCAGGTCATGAAGGCAGGGAAGACAGGGTACCGTGCTGCCTGGGGGTTAGGGCTAAATCTGTCCCTCCTCCTGCTGGCAAGCCACAGGCTGAAGTTATTCCTGGCCCCACACCATCCCTTTGGCCTAGAGCAACCCCCCAGCCATAGCCTGCCCCCAAAGAAGTCCTCAGCTGCATGCCCCTCAGAGAGGGCTAGACCCAGACAGGGCGACCTAGGCCTCTCCTCATTCATTTCAAGACCAGCATCCCCGAGACCTACTGTGTCAGAGCCCTGCCGTCCTCTACTCTCCTCTGCTGCCCTTGGCCTGGCCTTGGCATATGGCCGAGGTGGTGGGTGCCAAGTCTGGGCTGATGGGGAGCGGTAACCAGAGCCCTTAAGCCACAGCCGGGCTGGACACCACCCCCCACCCTGTGCAAATCAATAGTTCCTACAGCCAGCAGGATGAGTATCTAGTCCCACTGCCACTCTAACTGCAGCTCAGTTCCACCCGCTGGTGCATCCAAGAAAACCGGCAAGGACTTGATGAGTGACTTCACACAAGGCACTCAGTCTCTGGAGACCCTTTTGTGCAAAAATCCTGCCCATGAAGGCAGAAAGACATCACGTAGGCCTAGGAAAACCACCAAGTGGGGTGAGTGCAGAGTATGGCAGGCAGACTGCAAGGCAGAAAACCCAGGACCCAGGAGGGGTCCTCAGGCTCACAGGGCTTTGCTGGGCCGTCCATGGCCCCTGGAGAGACAGTACAACCTCTGCCCCCAACCAAACTCCCCTTCCTCTTGGGAACGCCATGGGCACCCTCTGGGGCCCTGACCAAGCCCCAGTCTGTGCCCCTGCCTTGACTCAAGTACACTGAAGTGGGAGGTGGACATGGTGCCAGGACAAGGCTGGAGGTCAGGGAGCTGGTTCGGAGTCCTCACTCTGAGTAAGCTGCCAGCACCCTGAGAAGATGCTGCCCCTTTTCACCATGACCCATGCACAGCATTCAGGCCCAAAGGACACACATGGGACAGGGGAGCAAGGGGGACGTGTCCCAGAGTGTCCTTGGACTGGGAGGAAGCAGGGAAATGGAAATGCCGGGGGGCAGAGCTGGGGCCCAACAGGAGTCCGGGAGACAGGCCAGGAGAAGCGAGAAGAGTCCAAGAAGACCAACAGCAGTGGGCCAGAGCCATTGGGTCACCCAACCTGGACACTCACTCTGGAGGCTAGGCAAGTTGGCGTCCTCTGGCTTGGTTTTCAGCAGGTGCGGCAGCCGTGTATAGCGGTACCCAAAGCCACAGCCCTGTGGGTAGGGTCAGTGGGGGTCAGGGAGGCAGGGAAACCCTCCCCTTCAGCCAGCCATAGCCACTTCCCATCCAACCACACTTACCCTCCAGAGTCGCACCAGGATCCAGTTGGTCTGGGCCCAGGGCCTCTGCTCATAGGGAGCCAGGAGGCTCCTTACCATGGCAATACGCCTACAAGGGCAAGGGGTGGTGGGCACAGGGTGAGGCCAGACATGGTGCTGTGCAGGTCAGAGTGCCCGCCTCCCTGCTCCGACCCCCACTCACTGCTCCTCAGGGATCCGCTCCACAGCCCGCAGGGAGTGTGGGTAGCACACGTAGCTAGCCAGGGCCTGCATCAGCGAGTCACGGATGTCTGTTGGGACAGGCTGTGCCTCAGCAGGTAGCTGGCATGAGCCCCGGCCCCCATGCCTCAAGCCCACCTGGCCGGCATTCTGCAAAAAACGGCCAGCCAGAAGTGCCATCCCATCCCCATATCCCCAAGCCCTTTGTAGGGCACCTCACCAGTGCCCACGATGCGTGTATCGGCAAAGTGTTTGGCAAGGATGGCAGCCAGGCGTGTCAGAGTCTCTTCATAGCCTGCAGGATGGGGCAGTAGGAGTGCTTGGCCGGGAGCGGGGGTTCCAGAGGCAGGCACGTCCCTTGGCAGGGTGAGTGGGCTTGGGCAGCGGGCTCCAGAGCTGACTTCAAGGGCCAGTCTGGGCCCAAGCTGTCATCTAGGGACTTTGGGCATGGCATTCACTGACTGTGAGAGGCCATTGCACAGACTCACTGTGGGGGAGGACGGGTCCTGCAAGAGTCCTGACTGGGCTCAAACCCATCTCCGCACACACACTTGATGGCTCAGCAGTCAAAGCCCCTTGGGCACCCATGGCTCTGCCTCTGAGGACAAAGCCTGCACCTAGGCCTGGGGCGGGGCAGGGGACAGGCCAGGGGCCTGACAGCCCACAGCCTGATCCAGACATAAACCACCAAACCCAGCCTGAAATCAGTGGTCTGCAAGAAGCCCAAGCTCCTACGTATGGCCTCCAGCAGGGTACCACCACCCCTTACTGCGATCTGCAAACACAAGCCGCTCTGCCTTTGCATGGGCTGCCACATCCCATGTGCAGTGCCAGGGTGTCTGTGTGAGGCCAACCGGCTCCCGTACCACAGCAAGAAGGAAGTGAAAGCGGAGGGCCCCCACTCCGGCACTCCATCCTGTCTCTTTCCTTCCTAGCATCCGGGAGAAGCTGTTGGCTCTGTGGCCGCTAATACCAGGGCAGGGCTCTCCACCATGTGGGGCTTTTGCAGATGCTTGTCTAACACAGGACCAAAGAGAACAGGGGCTACCTCCCCTCTTTCCTACACGGATGTGTGCTGCTGGGC